GCTTACCATTTTTAAGAGGGAGGGAGGGAGAAATTTTGAAACTCAAAATAAAAAAGAATGTTAAAAATTGTCTTTACATGTAACTGGGAAAAATATTGTCATAAATAACATTAGATTTGGAGTCAAATCCTGACCCAGTGTTACCTTCAGCAAGCCCAACTCTCTGGGCCTCAGTTTCTATATCTATAAAATAACTACTAACTGGTCTCTATGTTCTTTCCCACTCCAAATTTATGATTCTGGGGTCCTACAACACTGGGGTAGGAGAGTGGTCTCCAGGCTTGCTAACTACATATTCTTTGTGCTTCCAGGGCAGACTAAGTAACCTTGTTATTTTGGCATTGTTCTCATTTCTCAGTGCAACAAAGGGTTGTATGACTACCTACTCCCCACCGCCTCCATGCACATACCTGACAACTAGATTATCAAGAAAAATAATAAGACTATACTTTGGAGCCTTGAGTGGAGAGATCTATCATTATTACCTCAGTTCACTTTGCTGGCAAATTCTAAGTGTATCCCTTATGTCAGATGCTCTCCAGTAATACAAAAGGCTCAGGTATACTTTGGGTATTTCTCTTTGTTTTGGCTCAGACTCCTGACCTACATAATCTGGGAATGGCAATATCTAACATGCCTCCAGGGTGTTGTCACCAACTTCCCCTGTAAGTAGATGGTTCTCAGGGCTCAAACGAATACAGCTTACTCACACATCAACAAAGACCAATAACAAACCTATAACAACAAACAATGGCAGTGCCCAAACAAATAATGCCACCCTCTAGTGCATGTCCCTTCTCCAGAGATCTGTATACCCTGAGTCACTTACACACAGATCCTAGGAAATATTCCCAGCTGTGATATGTAACCTCTCTCCAGCCTCATCACCATGCTGCTAATTCAAGCCTTAATGGATGCCACCTCCCTTAACCTCATCTCCCTCACGATTTGAGGGCCGGAGGGAAAGAGTACCAAATTCCTCCCAAAGCCTTCCTTTATGGAGTGCAGAAATTGGAATTTCAGCTCTCTTCACTCTGAATCTACCTAATTTAAATTCCCCTCAAAAAGATGTCTCTGGCTGTGTATACCCTGGCACCTCCCCATGCCTCCTTTTTGTGTACTGTCTCCCCACCCCATTGGATTGTAAACTTGTAGAGGGCAGTGACTTTTCTATTCCTTAATTCTATCCCCAGAGTTTAGCATAGTGACTGGTATACATGGTATGCACTTAATAGATGTTTATTGAATTGAATTGAATTGACTCTATGTTATGGGTCCTTGGTGAATTCCCTCTTCAAGTGATAGCTTATCTTCCATATCACCTTGCCTACAGTCCTCCTCCACTCCTAGAAGGTGGCATCAGTCCTCATCTGCTGCTATGCCCCTTATCATGGTATACATGGCCATCCATGAGCAACCTCCCATCCTCACTTTCCATAACTCTCCAGCAATGACATCAGTCTCACGCCCAGTGAACTAGAACCACTGAAGGATAGATGAGACAGAGCAAGTCACCCTTCACATGGCAGACTGAAGCTGAAGACCAGGCTGCCCCCAATTCTCAAGTAGCCCCAACACCCAACACCAAGTCTGGGCAACAGCAACAACAACCACCACAACAGCAACGATGACAACCGCAACCACAACAATTTGTTCATTGATTGACTCGTTGCCTTATGTTATTCCTGTGACAGAGGCCCACACACAAGAAATCTCCTAGGAGTCAGGGACTCTTGGACTCTTCCATTTTCTTTCAAGGCTTAACCTGGTCTCCCTGATAACTAACTGAAAAGCCTGTTTATTCTTTTATGACCCAGCCCAGCTTCCCTGATAGTACCATGTAGGAGAATGAGTGGGAGAAGCTAACATGACCCTATTGGCCAAATGTGAAAAATTACAAATTAAATGTAAGGCCTTATACTTGATCATTACTCGGCTTTTTTATTCAGCAATTTTCATTAAGATCAGTGCTAAATGGCATTGAATTGGTTCAATTTTTATTTGAATTAGTGTTACTCCACTAGGCCTTGGAGAACCTTTCAGTGAGGATAGAAAAAGATGCTAATTACATAGCCTTCCAAACTACACTCGTTAGAGTCCTGTGGCGTGTCTTTTTTCTCTTTTTCACCCTTCTTCCCATCTCTTGAAATCTCAAGGAAAATGATAATAAGGACTTCAGGACCTTTCTTATCGGAAGAAAGGAAATCTACAAAAAAATAACAGTACAGTAAACTGAAGGAGAGAGAGATAAGAGACAGAGAGAGAGACAGAGAGGCAGAGAGACATAGAGAGATGGGGAGAGGCGGAGAGAGAGACACAGTGAGAGACAGAGATATACAGGGAGGGAGGGACAGAGAGAGAGAGAAACAGACAGACAGAGACAGACAGAGAGAGGGAGAGAGAGGGTCAAGGTCACTGGAAATCTGTTTTAAAGCTAAGTTGTAGCAGGAAGGAAGTCTTCATTTCAAATAGGGTTTTCAAGTCAAGGCTTCCTTCCAAAGTCCATTCCCCAGCAGATTCTATTGTGATGATAATAACCTGGGGAGTGGGAAGTGGTTTTACTTGGATGGAGAAAGGAAGATCTCCCTGTGATGGATGCACCATATGCAGTGCAAACAACTGACTTGCTCAAAGTCTCAGTTCAGTGAAAAGATCTATTCATGTTGGAGGATGGGAAAGGAGAAAGGGGAGGAGGTCCCTAAATTACAAATGCTATTTCTCAAAATTGGCCTCTACCAGCAAAGGTTTTACTTTCTACAAGACTCAGCTGCCTTCTGATCTGTTCTGCCACCAATGTTCCATGAGCCATGAGCTGCTAATCTACAGAAAGAGACCACCCAAGTGATTCCTGGTGGGTCTTGCTAAGATTCCAACATTAGACTTTGATTTAGCAACAGACCATTGGAGGTTGCTGCTAATAGAATCACAACATCACAGGATAAGAAAGGACAGTATAAACTGCCAAGCCCAGGGCTTCCCAGAGGAAAGAAGGCAGAGCAGCCAGTCTGTCAGGGGAGGTCCTAGGTCATTACTGGAAATATTTCATAAAGAAGGAAATGTTTACTAGGGTATAGAATATGAGGACCTGAGAGGTTGAGTGGGAAATGACCTTAGAAGTTCCCCAGATAGAACCTCCTGGTTTCACAGTAGAGTAAACTGAGGCCCAGAGAGTTGAAATGGTTTTCCCAAAGCCACATAAAGGAGGTGACAGAGCCAAGATTTGGATCCATTTTTTTCTGAATCCACTCCAGTGTTCTTGTGCATCATGCTTGTGATGGGGTAGAGTTGATTCAATTAAATTCCAATCAGTTCGTTATAGTACGCACCTGTTAAATGCAAGATGCTTGAAGGCTAGTCAACTAGATTGCAAACTCTAATAGAAGAGGAAGTTTCTATTCTGGCAATGAGAACCTGTCTGCTGGGTTTGCAGAGGCTCCGCACTAGTGGAGTTGTGGGGTGATCAGTATTCTTGACCAGCATAAAGCCTGAAGACCATCAACTGCTGCTGAAGACTTCAAAGTTCCCTTTCAGCTCCAGCTCTCTGATTCCATGAGCCTGGGCCTTGAAGTCTGAGGAGACTTGCTACCTTCGTCAAAAGAATGAGGGACAATTGTAAAGATCTTAGCGATACTGAAGTGCCAACAGGAAGCAGTCATGTTCAGATTTCCCCTCCCAGAAGAAATTAAAATGTCTGAACTCGAGCACTGGAATCACAGCCATATGTTTAAAATAAATTCTTTCAGTAAAGGATGCATTTCATCATTTTTAGAAGGACAGTTCTATCAACAGATCATTGAATTATCAATGTTGCACCCAGCATACCATGAAGGGATTCACCACCTACAGTGCTGGAATAAGTGTAATATGACAACACACACAATATGTGGTGCAGTGGAAAGTGCTCTGGATTTGGAAAATGAGCACTTGAATTGGAATCCCACCTTTCTCACTGGCTGGGTGACCTTGGCCAAGTCATTTCTCTGGGTATCTCAGATTCCTCACTTATGAAATAAATTCTTCAAAAGTCCTTTCCCACTAAAAATCGATGATACTAAGAAAGGATGGGTTTCCAAAGCAAAAAAAGTCCAAATTTGACAAAGATATTTGAGATCCCAGTGAATTAAAAAGTATTGCAGTAGGACTGCTTGAATAAAATTTGAATTTGGAGGATATGTCATCACTTCACTTAAAGAAAAGGGAGCAGTCTTCAACATAATGTCAGCATCCTCTCTCCAAATAACAAGAAGATTTGTAGAGCACTTTAAGTTGAGCAAAGCACTATATATACACATATGTGTATGTATTTATCTATATACATATATACATATGTGTATACTTATATCTATATATGTACATATGTGTGTGCATATATGTATACACATGTATATGTGTTTGTATACATATGTGTATACATCATGTATGTGTGTATACATATATTTACTATATATGTGTATACACATGCACATACACATACAGAGAAAGAGAAAATAGAATTCCCTGAAAGACTTCAGCATTTTAATCTCTCCCCATACTCCACAGAAATCCATGCCTTTCTTTCACTTTTCTAAAATTCAAAGAATGCCTGAAGTCATGAAAAGCAGTGGTCAGTTTCCTTAGGACAATTTCATGCAAAAAATCTTCAGCATAATAGATCCAAAGAATTTCAAATGCTTTACAAGAGCAAAGATTGTCTTGGTTTTGATTTATTTACAGAAATAAAAGCCATTTAGCAGAAAGGTCTTGATGAAAAAAAAAGTCAATTTGAAGATCTCTGCCTGTTGCCCCCTCCCCTTCCCCCAATGGTCCCCTGGTGATGAGTTTTGTAATTGCAAAATTTGAAAAATGATGCTCTCTTAAATGTGTTTCAGTTGGTTTTTCCTCATTTCATTCTCCCTTGCCACTAACCACTGAAAGAGACCTATGCTGTAACAATCCAATGTGGGCCCATTATTGTGTAATATGTGATTCCTCTTTCAAGTTACTCTATAATCAAACACACATTCACACATGGCTGGACCAACTGGTGCTGGAAAAGGCATTGGATTGTACAGCTGTAAGTACATAGATACACACATACACACACATATTTACATGCCATATATATTCACACACATATAAATACATGTAATATATATATATATATATATATATATATGCTATTTAAATTTGTAGTATATCTCATGAAGAGCAACAAAAATATCAAGTGAATCTCTTTATTTGATGTAGGTCTTGACTGTGAAAACAAAACCAAACAAATACATATGTGAGTGTGTTTATATATTCAGGTGCTGTGTCAAGTCAAGTTCATTTACTATTGGATAATTTCTGCAGATATGTGGTAGTGGGGAGTAGTATTTGATTCTTGGAGACTGGAAATTTCAATGTATATTGTCATCCTTCAAGTCAGAAAGAGAAAAATTTGGGTTTGCTATGGCGGGTGGCTGAGGGAAGAACCCCTTAACAAATGTTATCCTAAAGTGTATAGACCCCATTAGCCACTGTGGACTCCCCTCCCCCACTGACAAATTTCACACACAGGTCGGATGGCTAGACATTGGGTGCTTTAATTAGGATCGCATTGTAGGTATCAACTGAACACTGCTGAAGGTCCCTCTAACTCTGCAGTTCTGTGATTCTTTTACATTCTGATCCCAGAGGTCAGCCCGTCTCAAGGACCAAATGAACTCTGAGCAAATACAGTCAATGGAGGGTGCCAAATGGCATGAAACCTAGACCCACTCCCTTCCTCCAGTAATCTCTGTATAACCATATTTTCAGTGGGAAAAATGGCTCATTAGATTCCAAGACTTGGTGTCCTGCCACTAGAGAAATGGAATTAATCAGCCCCAGGTGACAATTAATCGATTTCGACCATGTCCACACATGTAGAATGTTAGTGGATAGTAGACCACAGAAGGAAACTTCACTATGGATCATTTGTGTTCCTCTGAAGACCTAACCAGAGCTTGGGTTAGGAGTGGTAACCATGGTAATCTAAGTCTTGTTTCTGGGAAGGAAAAAAGTTTAGAAAAAACATCACCTATGCACAGCAGGGTCTTCTGTTCACCCTTGGACAAGAGGGCCAAAGGCAGGGAGAGGGTCTATTGATGATCTAACAGCTGGAAAGTGAAAAGCAGAGGCCATAGCACTTACTAGTGCTTAGATTTCCAATCCAGCCATTGCTATGAAACAGTTACTTTTCTTGGGATTAGCCAGAATACTCTTCCTATAGATGACTTTGGGATATACATCAGAAAAAATAAAGTGTTTTTTTAAAGGACTCTGAGCCTGGCCCCAATTCTCTAGAACCCTCAGTTATATACAAGATGGAGCAAAGGTGCTGAGAGAACTTTGGAAAGCTGTGGCTGCCATTAAACCTAAATCCAGAATAATGCTGTGAATCACTTAAACTTTTAAATCATCTGAGGAAATGGTTCCAAGGAAACCCAGGGTCTTGCTTGGAAAATTAACCTCTAGAGTCAGTTTGAGAGGAAGAAGCCAGGAAATTTAGAGGTCAGGCTGAAATCCCATCCCCAGCCACCCCCATGCTGTATGAACTGCTGCTAAGGCCTTTACAGAATGGCTGCTTTTATATCCCATCTGCTCCAGGCAAAAAGGGGAGAAATCTCAATGTCCTTGACATAATTAGTTGATGGAAGAGTTTATGGCTGCTCCCTAAGGCCTGCTTCCTTCATTTATTTTCCAAGCTCTTCCTTGGTTTTTGTTTGTTTGCTTGTTTGTTTGTTTCTTAGATTAAAGAGCAGGAGAAAGAATTCAAAAGGACAATGCCCTAGGCAGCCTTCCATGGGCACCCTAGAGGAGCTTTTGACTACCAGATAATGAGATTACAGAGAAAGCCTTCTGTATCTCTATAGTCATTCTAACCTCTTTCTGCCAGTGACTCCATTTGGGGAGGGGACTTCCAAATAAGTTCCAGTAGTCTTTCTCTGGTGATCTCAATGCAAGCAAAAGTGCATAGGGGTGTTTTTGTTGTTCAGTAATTTCAGTCATGTCTGACTCTCTTCATTACCCCATTTGGGGTTTTCTTGGCAAAGATACTGGATTGCTTTGCTATTTCCTTTTCCAATAAAGGTCCTCTATCAATGATGAGGTTCTGCTGAGGGTCCCATATGTAACTGACATTGTTCTGATTATATCTGGGGCTTTGCTATTATTTTCTCATGACCAGAGGACCCCCTCTCCCTCAATTGTTTCTGTAGAATTATTTTTGATTTGGTAGAAATCTTAAAGGTCACTTACACTAACTTCATCCATTTCCCAAGACTGCAGGTTAGTAACTCTCTTAACACTGGAGTACCCTCCCACCCAGCCCTATCCAATCCCAACATACACAACACATTTCCAGGCTAACGTGATGAACCTAAGACAAAGTCAGTGGAAAAGGAAGAAAGGAAGATGGGACAAGTAAAAGGAATGGAAGGATAGGGAGTGAAAAAGGGGAAAGGGAGGAAAGGAGAAGAGGAGGAAAACATGCAAATCACTGGTGGAGTATAGGTCATCACAGATGACTCAGACACAAGTCACTGAGGGCATCAGTTACCTGGGCAGCACCTCTGCTGCTGAAGATGTTACTTTTTGTGCAGAACGTTGCTTTCCTTGCCCTACCCTTTTATGAGGTCACACAGTGCTGTGTTGGCCAAATTTTCAGCCTCAGGCAAGGAGAGAATTGGACAACTCCCTTTAGAGCCTCCAACTTACCCACAATGAAGCAACTGGTGCAAGAAGTTCAAAATGGAGCCCAGGCACATTACATGGAAAACTGCTCAAATGATGCTGGGGAGGTGGCCATGGGACCAAAGGCTTGAGGAAGGCTGATCTTGGTAGAGACCAGTCATTCTCTGTCTTGACTAATTATTCTTATTAATTAAGTACTTAGCTCAGTTGTTTCTGAATTGGTAAGGAACTATGAATACTATCAGGAACCTCGGAACTCTGGCAACCTGGGGCAAAAAAGCCTTAGTTGACCCAACCTAGTTACGTCTGAGTAACTTCATAATTAAGCAAGCAAAGATAATTCAGTCCAAATACCTAAATCACCCTCAATAGCAGACTCTAGGGCCAGATAATTGGCTCAGTTTGTCTCCATATATTATTGAGCTTGCTTATTTGTGGTTACTGTTGTATTCTGAGCCTATAAAGTAATCAACATTAACATTGCAGAGAGGCCAGTAGTGAGCACGAGCTGATTACAACATATGGCCAATGAGGAATTCTGAAGATGAAATGGGACAAAGCTTGTCATCATCTGATGGGAGAAGAAGATGGGATGGTCCTATGGTGAGAGTGAGAGATTTCAGGCAGGTGGCCAGAGCACCATTCTGGTACCCTGGTACACATCCTGTAGACTCATTCTAGTGAACTGGTAGTACAATATAGGCAAGATTCACACAAGAAGAGAAAGCAACTACAGGTTGTCAACTCCATTTTTGGAAGAGCTTCCCAATTGATGAGGCCACATGTCCATCTGGTTTTTGAGTGTTTACGTTCACGACCTTCCAAAGATCAATCAATTTCACTTACGGCTGTTTTGGCTCAAGGACTGTCCAATACTAGATTCTCAAGACCACTGCAGATATTGCATTTAATTCAGGATGATGGCAGCTTGTCACCTCCCAGTGAGGATTAATGCTGACACTATATTAGAAGGGTACTTATAATGTGCTTTTTTAATTGAACTCTTTGAATTAAAGGAATTTCACATTCATTTTTAAAGGCCTCAAGTCTTCTAACATATAACATATTTTGCTTTACCTCTCCCATCACCTAAAGGTCTCTTCCTTGTCATCACCTTGAAAAAATATAATTAACTAGAGTAAAAGAAGAGGGTGGTAGGAAAGGGAGAGGGCTTCTGTCATATCATGAACATAAGCTCATTTCATTTCTGGATTTATTGGAATGAGTTTGGCATAAAACATCATTGGGAGAAATAGAAGGGCTTCAGTTAGCCCTCTGAGGTCTTTGGGAGCTGTCATTCATCACCTGTAATGTCATTGGGAGAGTTCTGTGGTCTGTGACTCTGAGAGAAAGGCCATGCACTTTCATCTGGCCACTGGGCTTCCTTGGGAGGCCACACAGTCTATCAAACATGTTTTATTTATGTACCAATCAATTCATGTCCATCCCTCCTTGTAAGGAAGGTGACTACAAAGATACAGAAAGTGATATGCCTACATGATCCAAAGTGAGGTCAAGGGTCTTTGCTGGCTCTCAGGAACAGGTCTTTATCTCACCCTGCTCCACTGAGAACTAACATTCTGTGTAGCATATGTATTTATATCCTGTGTGCCAAAAGCTCACTCCTACATATTCTCTCTGTAAGCCCTTCATGCTTTAGTGTAGATGCCCAGTCACTTAGAGAGATATTGTTTACTAGATTCTAGAGAATAACAGTGGGAGTAATCTACTTCCCTCAGCGTTTAGGGCCTCTTCAACATAGAATCATCGATGATTCCCTATGGTCTAATCACCATGGATTATCCCTTCACAAGTCCTGTACCCCTTCTCCCAATGATGGGTTACACCTACATTCTTCATTTTGTGGAGGAACTCTGGCTAGCCTGCCTTCATTTTCCTCCTTGCTGTGTTGGGGAATTTCTTTGGACTTCAGAACCATATTCCAGGAGCAGGAACCTTGATTCCCTCCAACTCCCTTCCCTCCACCCCCACTGCCCCATATCTTTTATCCTGCCTTTCAGCTCTCTTTAGCATTCTGCCGTTAGAATGTAGGCTTTTATTTATAGCCTCATTGCTTAGCAGCGTCTGGTGCATAGTAGGCATTTTATAAATGCTGGCTTCCTTCTTTCCTGTTTCTTTGTCTTTAGTACTCTGGCATGAAATCAAGATGAAGGGATGGAGAGAACATTTAGGAGGTGGGAATTACACACTTTCTTGTCAGGTAAGCCCTTGAAATAGAATCACAGAGAAGCATTCAAGGCAGGATAAGGGAGTGGGAGTAATGAGGAAAATCTTCCATCAGTAGATTAGTGGGACTAAGGTTTTGAGCAGATTTCCAAAAGTCATTTGTCTGCTTAGATTCAACAAGGATTTTGAGCTATCAGGAAAGTGCAAGGTCATCTAGCCGAATGCCCTAGTTTTGTAAATGAAGAAACTGAGACCCAACCTGCCTATGATCATACAGACAGGGAGTGTCACAGCTTGGATCTGAACCCAGGTTTAGTATTCTGAGCCCATGTTGCTCCATTGCACCATGCCAAGGACCAACTGAATCCTACATAATAGGTAGAGTGCTAGGTCTGGAGTCAAGAATATGTGAGTTCAAATTCAGGCTCACTTTTGCTAGCTAGCTGTGTGATAGAGTGTCTTGTCTGAAGAACAGCCAGGAAGTTAGTGTCACTGGATTGAAGAGAACTGGGCAAAGGGAGGAAGGTACAAGACGAGGAAGGTAGTAGGGAGGATATAGGTTATGAGAAGATTTGAACATCAAATGGAGGATTTTGTATTTGATCCTGGAGGCCACTGGAGTTTTCTGAGTGTATGTGTGTTTGGGGTGGGGCGGGGGGGGGGTGACATGGTCAGACCTGGACTTTAATCCCTCCTAAGCTTATTATGAAGACAACATGAGATAATGCCTCAAAAGTGCCTTGCAAACTTTGAAGGGCTCTATAAATGCTGACTGTTATTATTATTATTATTTCACCCATTATTTAGGACATATTCTCCTTAAGAGAAAGGTCTCTTGATAGTGTTTTAAAAGCTGACTGCCAACATCTTTAACATAATTATTATTTTTAAATTAATTGTCCACAATTAATTAGGCATCATATATTTCAGGCAGGGACAGCTCAGTGGCACAATGGATAGAGTACCAGGCCTGAAGACCTGAGTTCAAATTTTGCCTCAGACACTTTCTAGCTTTGTGACCTTGGGTGAGTCACTTAACCCCCAGTTTCCTGTAAAATGAATTTTAAAAAATTGTGTAAAATGAGCTAGTATCTCTGGCAAGAAAACCACAAATGGGGTCACAAAAAGTTGAACATGACTGAATGACAGCAGCACCAATATTCCAGGCAGTGTGGTCCAGTGGATAGAGAACCTGTCTTGAAGTCAGGACATCATAGACTAGTATTTTGCCTCTGCCACATACTGGTGGTGGGACCCAAGGTAAGTCACAGAAGCTCTCTTTGCCCCAGAGTTCTCTCTAAGATAGGAAATCACAGAGGAGTAGCTCCTGTATACACAGGAGGGAATGTTTCCTCATGGGTAGATAATCCTACTGCTCCAATGAAATCACAAGGCCAGCTCCATTGCATGGTACAGAATGAATGAAGGCTTTTGAACGTCAATCTGCTGTGTCTCAAATCAAAACTCTGGCTGGGCCCCTTTGAACTTCTCCCTTATTTCTGATAATTGACAAAGGACTCCCTTATTCCAGCCTCCCTCAACCTAGCCTTCCACAGCCCCCAAGCCTCCATTCCTCCCAGACTCCCCCAAATCATTCAGAGCTTTGCTCCACATGCCTGTGGTGTTAGCCATGATGTCCTGTGTCAAGACAATAAGAACAAGTTGTCTTCATTTGGCATTACCAGGTCACAAAGCAGCATCCTCATGGCAGACCAGGAGCTAAACAGAGCTGCCCTTTACCTTTGTCTGCACTTGTCTGTGCCCTGGCTGTTCTCAGGAAATCTGTGGTACAAACTGTCCCCAGTGTTGGCAACTGGGAATTGGTCAGTAAGTGAAAGCTTTAGAGAGTGTCTTGATACACTGAAATGTTAAGTAACTTGTCCACAGACCCGCAGCCAATAACAGTCAGAGGTAGGACTACCCCATTTGCCTCTATGGTGTAAGTATCATTATTTCTATTACCAGATGAGGAAACTGAGGAACAAGGAAGTGACTTGCCCAAGGGCACATTAGTAGGAAGGAACCAAACCAGGACCTGCCCATGGACCTAATGCCCCCTGTGCAGTGCTGCTGCTTCCATTCTTTGGGCTTTGGGGGTATCTATGCAACTTTAAAAGTCTCCCCCACCTTCTACCTCCTCTCCTTGGACACTGTAAGTTCTTTACCTGCACTTTCTTTTGTAGCTGCTCCCACAGCACTTGAGGGGGTATACTCCAAGAATATTCTAAATCTTCTCATCTGACTGCCTCCTAGTTATTTAATTTAGAAAAAGCATAAAGACATCAGTGGAGCTGGAACCATATTTGCCATGAAGTCATTATCACCCATTGGAAAACCAAGGGAGGGGAGAGATGTCAAGTGTGTTCCTTCCATACCTACTCATATGAATAAATAACATTTTTGTTCTTTTGGAAAAACATTAATTTCATGGGCTCTGTTGTTCAGAATATTGGTTATTCCTACAGGTAAGTAAACAAAACAGAGTTGAAAGAAGGCTGGCTCTGGACATCAGAACAACCAAGCAGATGGGACTTCCAAGAGCCAAGCTGGTGGAGTAATAAGTAAGTCACTCTCACTCTCTCTTATTGACCTCTGAAAGTCCAGAAAATATCACCCCAGGAAAAAAACCTTGGATTAGCTGAGCCAGCAGAAAGATGGGGTACAGCAGTCTGGTAGCCCAGGAAGCTTGGGGGACTAATGGGAAAAGCCCCTCTTGCTCTAGGGGAGGGGGAGCAGTACAGAACAGGAGCCATCCCAGCAAGCCAGTGGCAAACCCCACCTCAGCAAACCGGGAGGAGACCATGAGCCTCAGGTTGGTGGAGCAGACACCCCAAGTGCCTTGGCATAGGCAGGGAACCAGTAGACATAGGCTTAGAAAACCATCACATGTGCATGTGCTTCAGTGCATCTCCAGGCTGGCACAGCTCCAGGAGACACAGCTCCAGGCTGGCAGACATACTCCAGCAAACAAACCTTCCAGTGCTTTAAAGAAGTCTTGGGTGAGCAGGCATCCTCCAGGGTCCAGACTCCCCACTCCCACCTGAGAGTTCCAGTGTTGTTGACTCGAACTCATCACCACGTGAGATATCAGATGTCTAAAGCCACCAGCTGCCAGCACCTGAGGCCCCAGCACCCAAAGCTAGTGACCAGGTCCTGGGTTCCCAGCACAAAAAGTTTGGGTTGGTGCCCCTGTGCTCCAGCAGGAAAGATCAACTTTAAAAACCAAGAAATAGGCAAAAACCATGAGAAAAAAAAGCAGAAGTGGACAATGACCATAGATTTTTATTAATGGAACAGGAAAAATTAAGGCGCAAATTCAGAAAAAACAACATTGTCAATATACCCATATCTGAAACTTCAAAGGGGAATATAAACTGGTCTCAAACCCCAAAAGCCTTCTTGGAGTAGCTCGAGAAGAATTTTAAAAGTCAAATAAGAGAGGTAGAAGAAAAATTGGGAAAAGAAATGAGGTATGCAAGAGAAAGTCAATAGCTTGGAAAAAGGAAGGACAAAAAATGAGTGTAGAAAACAAGTCCTGAAAAAATACAATTGGCCAAATGGAAAAAAGGAAAAAGTACACTGAAGAAGACAACTCCTTAAAAAGCAGAATTGGCCAAATGAAAAAGGAGGCGCAAAAACTCACTGAAGAGAAGAACTCCTTAAACAAGTAAAATGGGCCAAATGGAAAAGGAGGCACAAAATCTAATTTAAGAAAATAATTCATTAAAAATTAGAATTGGGCAAGTGGAAGCTAATGGCTCTATGAGATATCAAGAATCAGTCAAATGAAAACAAAAGAATGAAAAAAATAGAAGAAAACATAAAATACCTCATTGGTAAAATAACTGACCTGGAAACTAAATCCAGGACAGAATTTAAAAATTATTGGTTTATCTGAAAGCCATGATAAACAAAAGAGTCTGAAAATCATCTTGAAGGGAAATCATCAAGGAAAACTGCCCTGAGGTCCTAGAACCAGAGGGTACAACAGTTATAGGAGAATCCACCAATCACCTCTTGAAATAGACCCCAAATTGAAAATGCCAAGGAATATTGTGGCCAAATTCCAAAATTACCAGGTCATAGAGAAAATACTGCAAACAGGGGCAGCTAGGTGATGCAGTGGATAGAGCTCTGGCCTTGGAGTCAGGAGGACCTGAGTTCAAATCCAGCCTCAGACACTTGATACTTACTAGTTATGTGACCCTGGGCAAGTCACTTAACCCCAACTGCCTCACAAAAAAAAAAAGAGCAAAAAGAAAAAGGAAAAAGAAAAAGAAAATACTGCAAGCAGCCAGAAACAAACAATTTAAATATCATGGAACCACAATCAGGGTTACACATGACCTTGCAGTTTCTACATTAAAAGATCAAAGTGTGCAGTATACAGTATTCTATAAGGCAAGGGACCAAAGGTCAACTACCCAGGAAAATTGAACATAATCCTTCAGGAAGGAGATGGACATTCAGTGAAATAGGGGGCTTCCAAAGCTTCCTGATAAAAAGACCTTAGTTCAACAGAAAATTTGACCTTCAAATACAAGACTCAAGAGAGGCATGAAAAGGTAAACAGGAAAGAAAAAAAAAACTGTTATTAATAATGGTGAACTGTTTATATACCTACAAGGGAATATGAAACTTGTAACTCTTGAGAACTGCATCATTATTATGACATTAAAAGGGGTATGCATAGAGAGAGTGTATACGTATGGAGTTGACTTTGATATGATGATAAAAAAATCTAATTAGGTGGTGAAAAGGGATTGTACTGGGAGAAGAGGAAAAGAGGAGGCAGACAAGGGTAAATTATATCACATGAAAAGGCACAAAGACCTACTACAGTAGAGGGAAAGAAGGGAGGGAGAGGAGCATAGTTTGAACATTACTCTCATTAGATATGGCTCAAACAGGAAATAACATAATCAGTTAGGTATAGAAATCTAACTTACCCTATGGGAAGCAGGAGGAGAAAGGGGAAAAAAAAGGGAGAGGTTGGATAGAAAGGAGGGGAAGAAGTAGTAAGGGAAAAGGGGAAGAAGAGCGAGGGCCTGATAGAAGGGAAGGCAGATTGAGGGAGGCAGTGGCCAAAAGCAAAATTTTAGTGAGTAGGGAAAGGGAGAAAGGAAAGAGAAAAGCATAAACAGAGAAATAGGATGGAGAGAAAGACACAGATAGTAATCATAACTGTGAATGTGAATGGGATGAACTCTCTCATAAAACAGAAGTAGATAGCAGAGTGGATTAAAAAACATAATTCTACAATATGTTGCTAACAAGAAACATATTTGTAGCAGAGGGATACACAAAAAGTAAAGGTAAAGAGGCTAGAGCAAAGTATATTATGCATGAGTTGAAGTAGAAAAATCAGGAGTAACAATCCTGATCTCAGACAAAGCAAAAACAAAAATAGATTCAATTAAAAGAGGTAAGGAAAAACTTACATCCTGCTAAAAGGTACCATAGACAATGGAGTTATATCATTACTAAACATATAAGCACCAAGTAATATAACACCTAGATTCTTAGAAAAGAAGTTAAAGGAGTTACAGGAAGAAATAGACAACACAACTATACTAGTGGGTGACCTCAACCCTCTCAGGACTAGATAAATCTAACCACAAAACAAACAAGAAAGAAGTTAAGGAGAAGAATAGAATTTTTGGAAAGTTAAATATGTTTGACCTCTGGAGAAAACTGAATGGGGATAGAAAGGAGTATAAATTTTTCTTGGTGCTACATGGCACCTACACAAAAACTGAACATGTATTAAGGCATAAAAACCTCACAATCCAATGCAAAAAGACCGAAATAATAATACATGCATCCTTTTCAGATAGTGATGCAATAAAAATTACATGTAATAAAGGGCCATGGAAAGATAGACTAAAAATTAATTGGATCAAATAACAAATCATAGAAACAATTAATAAATTCATCCAAGAGAATGACAATAATGAGAAAATATGCCAAAACTTGTGGGATGCAGTGAAAGCAGTTTTTAGGGGAAGTTTTATATCTCTAAATGCTTATATGAATAAAATAGAGAAATAAGAGAACAATGAATTGGGCATGCAACTAAAAAAGCTAGAAAAAAATCAAATTAAAAATCCCCAATTAAATATCAATTTATGAGGTCTGAAAACCAGAAGGAGAGATTAATAAAATAAGGCTAAGAGCTGGTTCTATGAAGAAAAAAATAGATAAGCCATTGGTTAATTTGATCAAAAAAAAAAAAAAAGAAAGAAAGAAGAAAACCAAATTACCAGGATCAAAAATGAAAAGGATGAATTCACTACCAGTGAAGAGGAAATCAAAACAATAATTAGGAGCTATTTTCCCCAAATGTATGCCAATAAATTCAACAATCTTAGTGAAATGGATGAATGTTTACAAAAATATAAATTACCCAAATTAATGGAAGAGGAAATAAAATACTTAAATAATCCCATTTCAGAAAATGAAAGTGAAGGAGCCATCAATGAACTCCCTAAGAAAATATCTCCAGGGCCAGATGGCTTTACAAGTGAATGCTATCAAACATTTAACAAACAATTAATTCTAATACTATATTAACTATTTGGGAAAATAAGCAAGAAGTAGTTCTACCAAATTCTTTTTATGATACAAATATGGTGCTGATAGCTAAACCAAAACAGAGAAAGAATAGACCAATTTTTCTAATGAATATAGATGCAAAAATTTTAAATAAAATATTAGCAAAGAGATTACAGCAACTATATCAAGGATAATGCACCATGACCATGCAGGATTTATACCAGGAGTGCGGGGCTGGTTTAATATTAGGAAAACTATCAGCATAGTTGACCACATCAACAACAAAACTAACAGAAATTGTATGAGTATCTCAATAGATACAGAAAAAGCATTTGACAAAATACAACACCCATTCCTATTAAAAACAGTAGAGAGCATAGGAATAAATAGAGTCTTCCTTAAGGTAGCATTTATCTAAAACTAACACTGCAAGGAGCCTAATGGCCTTCAAAGACTCTTCTTCAGTTGTAATTTCCGCTAGGGAGGGATTGACTTCAACCTGAGGTAAACAATCAGTGGCTTCGGCATTAATTAATGATAGTCTGTTGAGGACAATATAGAAGTGTTCAGCCCATCTCTCTAGGGTCATGTCCTTATCACTAATTAATGTGGTTCCATCAGCACTGAGGAGTTGAGATGCACCATAGGGCCTTTGGCTCATAAATAACCTTCAGGGCATCATAAAAGTGTTTCAGACTATTACTATCAGCATAAAACTTCATGAATTTCATCTGCCTTCTTACTGAGCCAAGAATCCTGCATCTCTCTAAACTTTGCTTGTACTTTACTTTTGATGAAATTAAATGCTACCTTCTTACAACTGGATGAATTGTCCTACTGGTAAACCCTGTGGAGCTCTCGTTTTTCATTTAGCAACTTCTGAATTTCCCCATCATTTTCATCAAACCAGTCTTGATGTTTGTGAGTGTTCTGACCTAGATGAGCAAATGCAGTGATGCACACCAAATCTCTGAAGGCTGCCCACTCCTTTTCCACTCCACTGTTC